TATATATATATATATATATATATATATATATATATATCAAAGAGATAAGACAAGATAAACAAATAAGGTACTGAACTATCTGTACTTGCTCAGACATATTATGATCATGATGCCTCATTACCACATTAATATTTTTCATCAGAAAAAAACCAAGGTTTCTCAAGCTGGCCAGAAAATTTCAGGCTGCAAAGGAACAGATGGAACACAATGTTTCACAAGATCCTAGAGTGAGCTTAATCCAGTTCATCATAATAGACTGCATCAGATATGCCTAAATAACTCTGTTAAACAACGGAACCACCAAACATCAACTGCATTGACTAATTTGAAGCAGATGTAGGAAATATAACAAATATACCAAATGAGAGTCAAGTTTCTACAAGTATTCATTTTGAACAAGTAATATACATTTTGAACAGAATATCAATAAAATAATTTTTCAAGTACTGTGTTGCATATCTATTCTTGTTTTCTGAAAAAAAAAAAGCCCACTGTGATATCTGAAGTTCCAGGAAGAACAAGATGATTTAAAAGAAAAACTTCAGAAAGCCTTGGTATGAGAAAGGTTATTTCCCTATTGGCATCTAAATTTTAGAACAGGTTTAGAAACAATCTAAAATTTACTATTGGCATCTATGCATGGTAAAGCCTGCATGTAGTGCACCATTATGGGCCTTTTCAATGCGCACGCCAAGTTATACTACTAAACACAAAGTGCAATGGTGTATCCGGCAAGGAAAGACGGGATCATCACACCATACTAGAGTCGAAAGTGAAGACCAGTAGTTAATGAATAAGACATGAGAAATAAATATAATATATCTATCAGCACAGTTTTACCATTGAAAAAGTTTTTTGCATTAGCAAAACCGAACACTATGGAAAAATTAACTTGAAGCAAGCCACTAGACTCCTTATAACAATTTATGAGCTCAAGAAAAAATAAACAAAGTTAAAGACCATAAAGAATATACAAAGCTAATGACACAAGGAAAGAAGCCTCAGAAAATTTTGTTAGTTGAAAAACCCATTCCGGAAAAACCAGACATAACACTGATCCTGCATACACGTGTCCTTGGAAGCATTACCCGCAATTTTCAGTAGAAGGGAATCAACAAAAGTTAATCAAGAAAATTTCCATATGCCTAACTAATCAAAGATTATTCAAGAAACAAGTTCATTCATCGGCAAATTAATCTTATTTTCAAGATTTTATTTTAGGAACACAAGTTGATGAGCCAACCCAATGGAGCAATTTATATAAGCTTTGCCTCAAAAGAGATATATGAAAACAATAATATAACAGAACTACGAAAGGCATCAGTACTGCCAGTCAATACTAGCTTTCTGCTCAATAGAAGTCTCAAATAAAGCACTTGACACCAAGTAAGCACACATGCACAGAAGATGTTGGATGCCATTTGCATGACCATAGAAAATATAACCATGAGACCATCAATTATCTATGAAACACAAGTAATACACTGTAAGCCTAAATTAATTCAAACCAGATGTGTGAGTTGGCTTTCTTTCTTGCATTTTCTGAGGCAAAAAGCTCCCTTCCTTGCATTTTTCTCATCCAATAGTAAGATCCCCTATAAAAGGAAGATATACTACAAAAAACAAAACTTGACATCACAGTTTTAAACAAATTAAAAAAATAATTCTAAGGGGCTTTCTGATTGTCTTTAACTACACAGACTGGGAACCTTTTGTATATTGGGTGTCACGCTAAAATGGAAAAGGGATTTTCATCAAACTTGTTTCTCCAATTTTCTTGTCAGATTTTATAAAACAAGAACATAGAATAGCAAAAGCATGCTTTCTTAATATTCATTCTCAACAATTTGCATAATTATATAAGTAACATCCAACAATGACAGAACATATGAAAGTAGAGGTAAAATCTCACAAGCATTGGGAGGTCTAATTTGCAAGAACAGGAATATACACAATATATTCATGGAACCACAAGATCCTAGCATCTCAAGCAGCTATCATAGAAGGATTTTTGGTCACATATATACAAAAGAAATTGAGACTAGCAGGCAGAATCTTATCCATTATACTTTCTCCATCTATATCCAAAAGCTTAACTTATAAATTATAACCTAAATATACAGTAAGAAGTTTTATTTGAACCATCTTCCAAAATTTATGTAGCAGGTCAAGCAGAACTAGAACATAAATTGCAAACAGAACTTCTTAAGAAATTGTCATGATGACACATCAAGAAAGTAGAATTATTCACTTACGGAGCCATCCAACGGTAAGTTCCAGTCTCCGGCGTCATCCCTTCAGTTTTCACCTCGATACGAGCCACTCCAAAATCAGCAATCTTTATTGATTTGTCTGTGAAAATCAGAAGATTGTCTGACTTGAGATCCCTGTGAATGAAACCTAGCCCATGAACGTAGGCCATTCCCCTTGCGACGTCAAGAGCCTGTCTTACTGCAAGCCTAAGTGGCACTGACCTGTTCTGTCTCTTCATCAAGAACTGCCTCACGGAACCACCCTTAGCATACTCAGTTACAATGCACCACACAACAGGCTTCCTACAAGCCCCGATCAACCTCACAATATTGGGATGCTTCAGAGTGGCCAGCATCATAACCTCCTGCACAAACTGCTGCTCCATCAATTGTGCTCTTTCTAGGTCATTATCTGGCCTCTCCAGCAGCTTAATAGCTACATCTTCTCCATTGTAGGTACCCTTGTAGAGCTTCCCAAAAGCCCCTTGAGCAAAGGGCAGACCTATATTGAGCTTGTTAAGATCAATGGTCCACTCCTCATAACCCTGCAGAGTCTCCGTGGGGTGTCGCATGTCCAACAGGGCATGTACCAACGCATCACCAGTCAGCCCCGGGTTAACCCTGCCAGGTCGGGCGACACTGTGGTCAACAGAGTAATTCGGGGTGGCAATCTGGCGGAGACCGGGGTGGTTGAGGATGCCGGTACGCGAGTCACTCGACCCAACGCTACTGGCGTCCCTTGACATAGCCATGGATCCACCATTGACGCTAGTCTGCATGCTGTTGATGCTATCAATCGACATGTTTGAGCCCTCCCCGAGCTTCCGATAGTACGCCATATCATAGAAGCTGCTTCCGTTGTCGATCCCTCCAACGCTACCCATGATTCCAGGAAATCTGGGGCCTTCCAACATCTCTGATCCGGACAAACCCGTTCCGATGAGCCAAGCCCCAATCTTCACACAGACCCCAGCATTCGAGCTTCAATGCAAGTCCCAAGAACCTAGAACCAGATCAATCCAGTTTTCGCTTCGTCTTATACACAAAATCTCAACTTTCGACCAAATCCACACGCACAGCCACAAAGTGAGACGAAATCAACAAGAATCGAGGCACCACTTTTCCGCCTGTTTCAAGAATTACCGACAAAACCGAGTTGATTACCTCCGAATCCACTACATCTAGACGCAACACCTACGATAAACTCCACAAGGGAAATAGAAACCAAATCACAGAAAAACAGCAAGCATTCAGCGGGGAAACGATCGAAGACTCCATGAAAACCAACCAGTCTCGGCCGAGGGGCGACGGATTTCGACGGGACTTACCTCTATCGAGAGAAATTATCTCCCGAGATAAAGACCGAGGAACAAGCCAGGATCGCGAGCGCGCAAGGCGGGGATGGGGGAAGACGAGGAGGAACAGCGAGTAGGTGAGCACTTCTGACCCCTTTCTTGGAGGACCGGAGAGGGACACGACGACCACGCAGTGAGCGAAGAGCGAGTCGTTTCCTTCTCCCTCTCTCTCTCTCTCTCTTTCTTCTCGGTCTCCTTGCAGCCATTTACTCGAGTTTTTATTTATCTTTTATTTTCTGGGATGGATTTTTTACGTCATGTTTAATTACTTTTTTTGGTCGGCGTGGTCGGCGGACGCGGGTCCGTTAAGCTCGTTTCCTCGCCGTATTGATGCCCCGATTAAATCGCCAGCTTGCATGCATATTCTGGAGGAGATCCCGTTGATCTTTCGCGGATATATATATATATATATATATATATATATATATATATATATATATATATATATATATATATATATATATATATATGCCTTTTAAAGGGTTATAGTTAAACACTTTCTATTTAATTGAAATCTTCTGGTATATTAATATCAAGAGTATTTTAGATTTTAGTTAGAGTTCAGAAGAGATTGTCCTGGATTTTCTTGATGATCGGTGAATATTAATGTTTGAAGGCAAATTAAAATTTATAATGATAAAAATATTATTATATCAATATATGTGAAATTTCTGTAAACTTACTATTTAAATAAAAAGCATACTCTTAAAAAGTTAGAATGTTGAAGTACATTTATAAATGTCAAAATGAAAGCAGGATTTATTATGATAAATCGATAATTTTTTTATCAAATGCTAAGCTTATATTTATATATTCTTTGATTAGATTAAATGATAGAATGGCTAACGAGTCAGACATTTACATGGTGTTTGTTGACTGGGTAATGCATTTGGAGAATTTAAACCAAGACAATACAATTGACTATAAGGAGAATATAAAGGGAAGCTTCGTAAAGGTTTTCCATTAAAGTTAAGTTTTAATATAATTTATATTTTAAACTGTAATTATTAAATCTCGCATTGTGATTGTGACGGAGACAAGACCGGTCAACGTAGAACATTGGACCAACTCGACTTGTGTTAAGAGTCTCTTAATTTATGTGACGTTCGACCCACATCGAAGACCATTGTGAAGTGGGGATTTCTGATCTGATGCAATTCTTTTGATGATCAAATTAGATATGAGATGGATTAAGAGGATTATTGAGGTAAGATACGTCAAACATCGATAATTGTGTCTTGAATTATCTTTTATAATCAATCCGTATTTGACCGTTAGCAACTCGAGAGAATATTTCACATAATAAAAAAATATTTCTTAAATATTTTTTTTGTTAGATGAATGCTGATATGATTATTTTGTTATTATTCTGATGACTAAGATCATGTTTCTAGTTATAATATTTCTCATATCATATTGATATGAATATAATTTTTTGAATCTACTGTGAGCTAATTTATGCTTTCTAAGTATTTAATTCAATTATCACTATCCATAGTCAATCTAAGCTCAAATTTTTAATGTTAGGTTTTTTGGGATATTTTTTTATTAAATACTCACATTTTTAGTATTTCACAATTGGTATATTTTTATTTTTTTTAGATAGTATCCCTAATTTAAAAAATATATAAATTATCTCAAAAAAATTATATGTTTATAATGTTTTGGCCACCACAATAAAAATATTATAAATAACTAAAATAAAATCAAAACACATTAGAAATCATTTGATATATTATATTATGAGTCAATTAAGTATTTACAATAGTCTAAAAATGATTATTATAAGTATTATAAAACTAATTTAAAAACACAGTAAATGATCCAAATGGGCTCGGTACAGTACGGTACTGATGTACCGAGCGGCACATCAGGGCATACCGAATATTTTTTTATTTTTTTTTCTATAACAGTGCTACAGTATAGCACTGTAGCAATATAACGATACCGGGCGGTTCGCGTACCGGTAACCTGTCGAACCGGTACGTACCATCCGGTACGAGTGGTACACTTCAATACGGCATACCTTGATATTAATGATCCGTGAAAAATGACAATCAAAGAGAAATGATAAAAAAAGGGGTAAAAAATAGTAATTTTTTTAAATTTAGGACACTGTTTGCAAAAAAAAAAAGTAAAATAGGGATAACGATTGAGAAATATTCAAAATATGAGTATTTTCTAGAAAAACTATCATTTAAAAAAAAATATATGAAAATAATTACTAGTTGAAAATCCAACAAAAGAGTATAGGTTATTATTTTATTTTTCATAAATAAAATAATGATATATATTTAAAATTCTATTTTTTAGATGAGTTACTTTCCATTGGGTTTTTAGTTTACTTGCTCACAATGTTTTGCTAGAAAACATTAAAAATATTTTAACTCGATTAACAAAACATGTAACTATGTAACTAATAATGTAGATCTCATACATAGGAGTTGGATTGTTCACCCTATAAATCGATCAATAAGGTTAACACCATTTCCATGGTTATGATTAATAGAATATTCTTGAAAAAGGGACGTCTCCAATAATAAGCCCAAAAGAAAGATTTTTCTTACGAATTCGTTAATTAATTTATTAATTAATTATTTTTAACAGTCAGCAGATGAGTAGCAGCTTTTAACTTTCTAAAACCTATTAAGATGATAAGAATAGAGTAAATGGTGAACTAATACAATAAGTATTTCGAATTAGCTAATACTAATCAGAGTTTAACTGCTCACGTGCACTGCACTCAGCGGAGCGCCAAGGTTCGGGACGTCAAAGAAGCCATAAGAACCGGAGGCTCCCCGCCACTCGCGCGTCTTCGTTCCCCCTCCTCCGATGGCGCTCCCCTGCTCCTCCTCCTCTCCCAACACCGGTCTCGGAGCTCTAGATTTAAAAGAAGCGAATCGATTTCAGAGGAAGAGCGTCGGCATCCTCCTCCCCCATTCCCCCAACGCCCGCTCTCCCCATCCCCATGGGAGGATCGCCCAAGCCCTAGATTTTTTCTTCCCAATATGGCTCCATATCTCCCGCTGCTTCTACTGCCGCTGCTGCTGTTTCTGCGGCTCTCCAATCTCGTCCGCGGCACGACCGATTCATCTGACGGTAAATGAGACGTCTAACTTTCCGTTTTCTGTGACTTGCCTTCGTTCATGGTTGGCACCGATCTGATTATGTTTCTAGCGATAATGGCCAATGGAGTGACCTCGAAATACTCGTAAAATATTCTCGTGTGGGACGGTCTCTCTTTTCTTACGTTCCAATCCATTCATGACAAGTATTTGTTTCATTGTGTCCATTTGTTTTAACTAATGAGTATTATAGGAGTTTCTGGTTGATGTATGTACATCGATGAAACTGAATTAGGAATCAGAACTCTTTCAGATTTTATGGTTTATTTTCTTCTTTCTTCCTTTTGCAGTAATGGTTGTATATATCTGTTGCAGTTTCAGCCTTAAATGTTATGTATAGCAGCTTAAGTTCCCCCTCTAAGTTGACCGGTTGGAGTTCAGGTGGCGGTGACCCCTGTGGCAATGATTGGAAAGGCATCAAATGCTCTGGGTCATCCGTGACAGAGATGTAAGACTGTTTTCTTGGATTCTTATGGTGGCTAGCTTTGGTTGGTTTCGTCATCACCATATCATTTGAACTGCTGCAAGTAAGGCCTATAGGTAAACAGTATGTGGCATTGCAACCATCTTTACAGTTTACGTTAAGTATGTTGTTGCATATGCAGATTAGTTTTTGACATGGGCTAATTCTTTCAGCATTTGTAATGAAATAAATTTGCCATGAAAAATAAAAAAAAAACATATCAATTTCTGAAACTTCATTATTTTCATATTACCGTTCACTTAAGTCAGTTGTCAACTGTTTATACTTTTTACAGTAAATATATAATTTGACTATGAGATACCTATAACAATCTACTCTTGTGGAGGAACTGGATGTAACTATGAGACACCTATAACAATCTACCTAGAGTTCTTGGTGGTGGAGGAACTGGATATAGATGTATTTAATATTCAAAATTTAGTTGTAAGCATACATACATTATTCACTCATGATGAGTATTTTGATATAACCTGCATAAGCATTACACAGTTTTGTTGACTACATGTTTAGGATTGTGGCTCTTAGAGACGCTCAAAAAATGTAAAATATCATCGATTTTGAAAACTTTCTGAGAAATCTTCTCTTAAAAATAACTTATACTATGAAGAAAGCAAGGCTTCTGGATTATGCTTATTTATGTAACTTAATAATAAATAACAAACTCACTCAGAAAGGTATTGATTTGGAAAAGAAACATGTATTGTTTATCCATAGAAGAGGTTTATAGGCTCTGCTGTTTTTGTATATCTGCCATTGAGGTTCATTTTCAAATGTGTGCTTAAGATAATTACCTTTTTTACTCAGTATTTTGGTAGGAAGTTAATGAAAGATGCTTTATATTTTTTGTCATTAGTTTTCAGAAGGCACTTGACTGCATGAAATTTTACTTTGTGTCAACCAGCAAACTCTCAGGTCTTGGATTGACTGGTACAATGGGCTACCAACTAGCGAGCTTGACTTCAGTAACTTATTTGTAAGGACTAACTTGCTATTTCTTTAGACATTTTGAGGTTGCAACTTAGCATGTTTTTTCTTTGTCTTAGTACAGTGACTTGAGCAAGAACAATCTCAATGGTGATATACCTTACCAGCTTCCACCAAACGTCACACATATGTAAGTCACACATAAAAAATTATGTACGGATCAGATTTATTATCAAGCTAGCAATTAGTTTATTTTGTTGTGCATTTTAAAGGAGCATAAAGGGTTAAGTGAAATTTGCACTTATCTACTAAACTTTCCTTTGTAGTTGTTATTAGAACATTGTATTTGCCAATTAGAGTCCAATCCTTTGTGTAGTTACATTTCTTACATATAACTGAGATAGCAATGTTTATTCAAGTTTATCTTGATATATTTTTATGTATCCAGAAATCTTGCTGGAAACGGACTTACTGGTGGGATTCCATATTCAATTTCTCAGATGTCTGACCTAAAATATTTGTAAGAGGAGTTTTAGTTTAATAGCATATGTTCTCATTTGCATCAGTGCCTTTTAGTAGTTAGTCATTGCATGGTGGATTGCAGAAATCTTGCCAATAACCAGCTAAGTGGACAGTTGATTGATATGTTCGGAAAGCTTCCTAGTCTCTCACTACTGTAAGATTGCTACTGTTTGATTTGTATATATATTACAATCTCTATATATATTTGAAATGAAGAAGTTACTTTTGCTACATTGTTGCCAATGACTTATGACTTGGTAGCTTTTATTTTTCTAGCAACAATACGTATTTGTTACTTGTCTTCACTAGTTGATCTCATTACATTTTAAAAGTTACACCATTAGGTTATTTACTGACATGGTATTAATCAATTTGTGTGAAATGATATACAGTCGCAATAGTTATGTATTTAGATTTTAGAGTACTTCACACTGAATTTTCCAAAAAAAAATGATGGTTTAATTTAACCCCATCACTTCCTGCAAGGAGAATGTTGCAACAAAAACAACAACAATAATAAATCCGTAAGTCCCAACTATTTGGGGTTGCCTACATGGATAATTCAAATTATGTTTTATATATTCCGCAATTAGAATGTTGTAAATAGAAAAAAAAACCAAATATTGTATTGGGTTCAATCTTGAAAAGACATGTCCAAAAATTGGATCTAGGTTGCATATGACCAATATATTTAAGGAAAAAATGCATATATATCTTCCAAAATTATTGACGTTTATATTTATCCTAATTTTTTCCAAAATCTAAAAACTTGCATGTGTATCATTATAGTCAAACATAGCTATCTACTATAAGTTACCTTTTAATTGAAACTTTAATTTGTGTTAATGCCCTTTGGAAACTCATTGTGATATTAACAACACTAGGGGTGGGTATCATATATATTTTTTATACATGTTTAACTTAAGCAAACTGATGTTAAGGTGAGCTTTCTCGATGGATGTTATGACAGTGACATCTGTAGATATTAAGATTTATAATGACAAATATGCTACTTCAGTAATTTTCAAGGATGTATGTGTAAAAATATTTTTTGTAAAATGATATTTGAATTTTGGCTGATTGGGGCATCATTTTTGGCCACTCCTAGCTTCTACTAAATTCCCTATGCTGCCTTCACAACTACCCCATAGCCAATCACTGCAACTGCCATTGTTGTTGCTATATACCACGTTTGCCATTAGTCATTACCTTCACCATTGCTACCACCATTGTTGCCACCATCATCACCATGACACCTCCATTCCCGTTACAACATCACTACAACCATCTACCCTACCATTGATAGCTCCATTTCAACCACCACCATCATCATCACCACTACCATTAACCATCACCATATTTTCCACCGTGCCATCATTTCACCACCACCACTACAAACCGGATCAAGAAAATGGATAATTTTTGGGTTTGATTATGTAAGTATTTTTTGATATTTCCATGTTGAAATAAATCGGAAAACAAAGTGTAAAACAAAAAGTATAAATTGGAAAATGATGATGAGAATAAGAGATAAAAACTAGATTACTTGTTTGAAATTAAAGATACCATTGGTCTAATATTTGCCTCCATTGCTTAATTATAGAATCAATCTCAACTAGATTATCATCAATCAAAACAATATCATAAGCAAATAACACATTTCTATGAAAGTTTATCTTCAATAGGTTTTTAAGTTCATTCAGTAACCCAATAACTAACTTATATTACATGTGCCTAAACCACATGATCTTGAATGCTTAAATGCAATTTATTATAGTAGGCTTGGATGGTTAAACACATCAGTCTAACCCAACATTGCCTCAATGTGCGATTACCGGGGACTATTGGCCACCATAGATGTGTAGTCCATCTATTCATTGGCATGAGGACAATGAAGATCAATCTAGTGGTGCATGGTCAGAATGTCAGAATGGTGATATATGACTCATACCAAATGATTTGATATCCCTATCTGAAACCTTATGAGCATTATATAGTTTTATGATGCTTTATGTAAGTTATGGAGTTTTATTTTTGTGGAAATGTTGGGATGAATATGATGGGTTTATGGTGCTGCATTTTGGTTCTTTGCAATTTTGCATTGTGGATTGGTGAGGGTTTATAGATAGGACAAGAAATGTGTGGGTTGAAAAATGATAAATGTCAGTAAGACGTATCAGTTTGTGTATTTATGTTGTTCACCCACTCAGTGACAAGTATTCACCTGTCTTATATTTTTACAATATTCATGTGAAGGTGGAATTACAATTCTTCATCTGTTTTGGGTTCACCTAACCATACGTGAGAATATAGATTGTTTACTTGACCATTCATGTGATCTTTCAAATAAGCCATCAGAATTAGTGAGGAAGTGATTGTCCAACACCAAGCGTAGTCACCTGCCAGTGTTGGCATAGCATTGCTTTTCCATGTGATAGAATTTCTGTTCTAGCTTCATTAGTCAAAACTAGTGGTTTTGTTTGAATCTAATACTTACATGGCAAATATGTATTTACACAAGACTCTTGGTTTCTATGTATGATCTTTGTGCATATGGTCATATTCTTTTGTTACTAAGCTCAAGTTATGATGTCAGGGATCTCTCGTTTAACCGCTTCTCAGGTAGCTTGCCACAAAGCTTTGGATCTCTCACACATCTCAAAACTTTGTAAGGAACTGAAGTTTTCCTTCAATCTGTCTTATTGAGTTCTTTTTAAACGAATATTTTCTGTCTTTTGATTACAGGAATTTAGAGAACAATCAATTTAGTGGTTCACTTGACGTTCTTTCCACTCTTTCTCTAGAAGACCTGTAAGTTATTAGTTTTGTGCCCCTTTCATCTGCTTGAGGATCAGATGATGTAAAGTTTGAATTGTAACTACATACCATGTGTAGTTAAATTACGCCGAGAAGAAATTTCCTGGACGATAATAGTGTTTTTACTTAATTCAACATAAGAAGTAATTGCATTCTCATGATTGCAAACATTTATGCTAATTTCGGAGAAGTTTGATTCTAAGACTACTTTTAGTTTTTATTATCAAGTCAAAATGATTATATGCTTAGAAGTATCCTTCAGATGCTTATATTGGAAGTTAATATGAATTATTAAGAATGCTTTTAAGCAGTGGAAGACAAAAAAGTAACATATTGTCAACTCTACAAGAATTATAAGGATTTCAGGACTTACCAATGACATACCACAGTTAATTTTAGAAATATTATGCACTTACATGAGCAGGGTCTCAGGTGGATAAGAAAAAAAAACTTAAACAAGAGGCATCCAGCTCTTCATAGTATAAAATAGGAGGTATCATTCAGTATTTTATTGTGCATTTGCCAACAAACTGTTCACCCTATTTTTAGTATATTTTCTCATATCTTACTGCTGAGTAGATCGTGCTGAGCACGTTAAATGATTGAAGAATCAGCATACTTTCCAGTTATCTGAGCAATTTCCAACTAGGTTTTCCTGTTATGCCACCAGGAATATTCAGAACAACAAGTTCACAGGCTGGATTCCAAACAAATTGAAAAGTATACATAATCTCAAGTGAGTACAATTTTGCATTTTTGCTGCTTTATTTTTTGGTTTCAGCAGATTTTATGCTTTTTTGAATCTTTCTGATGGTTATCGTTTCATAAGGGTTGGTGGAAATTCTTGGTCATCTCGACCAGCACCTCCAGGTATGGCTAAAGCTGCAGATAATAATGACACAAGCTCATCCGCGGTTGAGAAAGGGAAACAAAATTCAGGCCTGAAAGGTGCAGTCATCGCTGTGATAGTGATTTCTGTGTTAGTTGTGGCTCTCATTTTAATGGCTCTGGTTAAGCGAAGATCTTCAGGTTCATCCCATCATATTGACGAACAACTCAGCCAGAACAGATCATTTACACCTCTAGTAGGCAATGATTTTACAGGTAGTTTCTTTCATCATATTAATTATCTAGAATTTTCATATTGTATTTGTCGTACATCTGTTCTTATGTGAGTTCTGATTGTAGTGATAGGATCTATGTGCTTATGCATATCTGATTCTTAGCTACATTCCACAAAGTTCAAATGAAGAGTGGATCTTATGAATCTGATTGGAATGAGTTCTGACCAATATTTCTCTTGTGCAGTAAGCCTCATATTCTTTTACCTATGACCTTATACTCTTGCATGGACTTAATTGACATTTGATATTAACCAATTTTATTGGGGTGCAAAATCTAACTAAGAATGTTAAAAGTTAAAACTGAAGATCTATTTGCGAGAGAAAAACTGGTTTAGCTGTTTTGATGGGTTGTACTTGTACACTATTAATTTTCTACATGCATGTTGTTGATGACACAATAAGAGCTTTTCTGGCACTAGCAGCAGTTATATTAACTGCAACGATGTTCCAACGATAAGACACCTGTTATTTAACATCAGAGAGAATTAAGCATGCTAATGGGGCTATTCATTAGGAACTCAAATTATTAAATGACTATTTAGGACACCTAATCTTTTACTTGAGCAGTATATGATATATACAATTAACTAGAGTTTAAAAGTGACATTTGCAGTTCAGATTTCATGGTTCTATACTTAGTTTAATGTGACCCATTTGAAGGCTAACCATCGGAAATATATAAGAGTAAGACCCACACAGTCTTGAAGTTAATCAGGGTCTTGTTGAATGTAAGCATATGCTAGAGTTAACATAGGATACTTAAAATTGAGAGGGGCCTTGGGAATGGTATGATCATAATGTGACCCAATTTCATGCTTTGTGTATCAGAATGATGAAAACTAGAAGATAACATATAATAAAGTTAGTGTCATTGTGATGAATGTGTGGGGTTACTAAAAAAACTAAAATTCTCAAACATTGAAGGATAGTACCAACTCATAATAAAATAAGGAAAAGTCTTTTGAGGCGGTAAATCATATTCAAGGGAGACTCAGATACATTCGTTAGATGAGGTAAGCTAATCGAGACTTGTGGTACATAACAGAGTTAGAGAAAAACCTAAGAAAATTTATTAAAAAATCTAAAACTAGATTTAATGGACTACATGGAGGGAAAAATATTTATGTAGCTGACCTCAACTAATTGAGAGTTTATGTTTATTCTTGTTATAGTTATCTTAACACAAATATGCAAACTGATTGAATATCATTTCTTAAGTTAGAATCAATCTGAGTCGTCTATAGATTAGGTATATTGGTTTAAAAAAAAAATCTAAAAGTGATTGTGAAGTTCAGTTCTTTATTTTTGTAAAGAGATGAAAGGAATCATAGTATTCTCTATGGTAGAATAATTATGCTTGCCTTTGTCTTATGGCGAGAAATTAAGACAAGAAAACACAATTTTTAGCATTAAAATTTTGTTTGTTTGGCAGTTAAGTTATTTAACCATAGAATTAAAAGTCTTCATCAGGTTTATGATTTTGATTCTTCAAGTTGCTCTATCCCAATAAAATGTCCACTAAAGTCCTAAGTCCTTTCGGTTTGCCTTAAAAAAATTCACTCTTTCTCTTCCACTATTGTATTTAAAAGTAAATCAACAGTAACTTCTTGTGAGATTTGAATTAATTGAGGTCGACTTTTCTAGTTGATACAAAATTTAATAGCTTATTATTTAGTTAGGTACCCATTTAAGACCATCAATGTATGGACTTATCTGAGTGGTTAAGATTTGTTACTGGTCAGAGTCCACCATAGCTTGATTGACCTTTCAATATGACCAATTTTATGTGGACATACTTAATTCTTGTTGCCAGAGTTAGTCATTGGTTTAGTTCTTCCAAGACTAAATATCATTATGGCACTCTCTTTACAGCCAAAATGAAATCATTGTACACAGTCTTGAATCTTGATGCTCTGCAACTCATACTTGTTGAGCTAAATCTTCTGTATTCATTTTGTTGATTTGTATGTTTTTCATGGAGAATTGCTTTTTCTCTGTCATTGTGAAAAATTTTATGCTCCTTTAGTTATTAATTTGAAGTCTGCTTGCAGGGACCAAGGATTCTTCTTCTTCAATTGACATAAAGACCTTGGAAAAATCTCCCATGGAACTTAAACCACCACCAGCTGATAATAAAAAAGTTAACAATGATAATGAGTTTGCAAATAAACATACTTCCAGACAGAGCACAGATTCCATTAGTCTCACTACTTATTCATCAGCAGATTTACAAGCTGCTACCGGAAGCTTTAGCTTTAGTCGCCTTCTTGGACAAGGTAACATCGGATGTGTATACAAGGCAAAATTTAATGATGGAAAGGTACATTTTTGAAAATTTTAGAATTTACCTGTAAATATCCCTAAAGCATCTGTTTCCTTCCTTCTTTCTCTTTTGAAACATATATAACAAATACACATCATGCCATGTGTACATAACTACATATATGTCAAGATGTGATGTCCCACGTTTTGGCAACATGATTTTACATTGCCAATGATATAAGCCTATCAGTGTTGAGTTTTCATGTTATGTAGTCATAAGAGCATAAATTCTAATAATTGCTCCTTTTTTAAACTTTATTTTGACTTTATCTACAATTATTTGAGCCTTATCAACTGATATAAGCCTTACCAACTGCTCACTCTTGCCAACTCATAATCGAATAGGTAACTGGATGCTTGCCTCTCTTTTTGATTGAGCATTAAGTGCCACTAGGCTTGTCAGTAAAGTTTTTCTTTAGTCTGTATACTCAGAGAACTGACTGTTTGATTAGGCATGAGAAAACAATGCTCTATCAAGTGGTAGTTCAGGAGCTAGGACTGGGAGCAGCATTGCAAAATTTGAATGGCCTATATTATGTTCTATATTATATTAGTAAAAAGTAGATAACTCAGAGTATTGTGATTTATGATTTTATGATATTTTTATCATTTGCATACTTTAGGAATTTTTTTGATCTCCTCATCATCAGGAAAGATGTGCACATAAAGTGGGTAGTCATAGTATCCTTCAGATGTATTTGTTGCAAAACAAGGAGATTGGAGGAAACATATGTACTGGATTACCAAAGATGTGACCAGAAGACATTAAGTTTATGATTATAGATGAATATCTAGTTTCTTGTTAGGTTGAGGATGTATTAGGATATAGTTAGGCATGCATTGTTAACGATTTTTGTCAACATATTAATGGAGAATATATTACCTTTGTTGTTCTGTTAATGCAATAATTATCAGGGGACATCACTAAAATCGATGGTGTAAGATCTATGTTGTTTGATGAAGGAAATTGTTGTACCTTCAAGCATATCAAATTGGAAGACCACCGACGAGCATGAAACTGGTCAGAAGAACATCATGGGATCCTTCCGGTGGACTCTTGTAATGCCTAGTAGTCTTTATCCAATGTGAGCAAAAATAGAGATAGCTTGGATAGATGACTCTTGTTGGAATCTCTTAGTTCTTTACATTTGGCTGGTGTCATTCTGAGGCCTAGATCACCAGAATGGTTAAAGTGATCCTTGTGGAAGCTTTTTATTGGTTCAGGTTATAACACCCAGTAAATTGGAAAATTTACTAAATTGATTTGTAAGGATTTGATGAGCATACTATAGTAACTTGAGTCTAACCGTTTTGGTATAATGGTTCAGACTCAACAAGTTATTGTATCAATTATATCATCAAACCAAATCATAAAAATGGTATCAAGACCGATTGAGTACAGTGAGAGACTCGAGTAGGCTATTCATAGACACTGCTAGAGGTTACATCATGATATCAAGCCATCACTCGGTTGGACCACATGTGCACCATATTAATACTTGATTCTGAGTATGTTGGTCTTTGACGAGGATGATAAATTTTTAAGTGAAGAAATTGCAGCATACCAATATAGTCCCATATCAAAAATTAGATAATGATTAAATTATGAATTAATGATCATACTACTGGTAATTGGAGTCTATGTATTTTGGGCAATTGGTTCAAGCTCTGCAAATTAATGGCTCAATTATTCCATCAGGACGAGTTATGAGAAAGATTTCCTAGTCAGTAGGTTATTCTCCAGTTAACATCTAAGTAATTGGCTGAACCCTTTAGGCTATTTATGTAGTCACTGGTTCAGAAAATTTTGATCTCTGATTATCCACTTGTCTCATCTTGAGTAATAAAGTTTCAGGTTTCATTCTCCCCCATATCAATGTACACATAATTTGAACTTTTCATAATGGTGTTAAATATACAACTACCTCTATGTAGAGAAAGGACAATATATCACATATTGGCCCATTAGATATAATATTTTATTTCATGTCTTTCCAATAGTATATTGAATATTCTGTTTACATTACAAATGACTTATGGCTACAATGATTGAGT